ACACCACCTAACTAGTACTAACTACCGTATAATTCGCAACACACCGTTAGAATATTTCGCGACCCGTCCGGGTATACGTCGTGTTGCGAGCCGCATGTAGGCGCGTAAGCGAAAAAATGTAACTAACGAGTTTATGTGAACTCGGTTCATTGCCTCATAAAAGAGCTTTTAGCGTTCTAGAACAATCTTGCATTATAATAATATTTCTGAGAAAGAGAGAGCGTTTTTTTAGATTTTTTCATTATCAATTTTAAATCTTTCAAATATTATTACTTTTATATAACTATTTAATCCCAAGACAATACGTTTCGAAAAAATCTGAAATATCGCTTAAATATTTCAGATTTTAGTAAATTATAAGACATAAGAATTTAATATTATTAATGTCGAACATCTCTAAAATCTCTTCAAACAAAATTTTTTATCTCTGTATACTTCTGAGATGCAAATAATACTTTAGAATACCGCTCGTATAAGTATGCACATGTTTCCTTGTAGTGTCAGTTGCTATGTATGTAAATATACCACATAACTGTCATGTATGTTTGATGATACCGAGGTGCTCATCCTGATTTGCTTATTGATACGTATGATATAATTAGTCTTATACAACTATAGAAAAGTTACGAACCATTATATTCGAAGTTTTTTCTTATTAACATTTTCTACTGAATCATTTTTAGAGGAGAATTATTTTGAAATAGTTTTATAAGTTTTATAGTTTTGAAAAGTTAGAGAAAATAAACATTTTTTTTATTTTAGGAAGGATGTATAATAATATTCGATATTTTTTATGTGCTTGACACGTATATTTTTTCTTTTTTTTTTAGAAAGATTTTTTAGATGGTTGTGTATTTGAAAAGTTTAGCTTTGTTGAATATTGCACTAGAAGTCACTTTTATGTAGATAAATATAAAAATAATTTTATCTTATTTTAATTTGACACGAGGTACAAATGTGACATAACTACTATAAGGTTGCATCAAAGCAGCGAAAAATTGTACCCTGAATACCGTTATAAAGAAGCCAGAGGTCAGGCCAGTTAATTCAACTTATAGATGTGAAATTTTATTTGCGATTATTCTCCTTTCGTTAACTTGGAAACAAAGAAATTGCAGTAATATACATTATAAAAATCGCACGTTATATTTCATTTATATTATAATTTTTGCAATATAATTACTACAATTAACCAGGGATAAATCTACTTTACCAGCAAGAGGTACTGGGATATCACGAGAACGTTGCACCCATCTCATCGATACCGCAACCGTTTCACTACACCTTAGGCTATGTCGGAAACATTACTCGAGTGCCTCCGTGTATCGTTTTATCCTTGTTGTTCACCCAACGTTAAACAAAGATAAGATGATACACGGGAGCATCCGAGTGATTTTTAATATTATCTTATAGTGGTCGTTGATACTCTTTCAGTGATAATTTTTTCAGAGAAATTATTTTAGTATAAATCTTATTTCACGTCAAGAAAAACAGAACGAAAATTTTGGGTATTTTGAGTATAAAACGTTGATACGGATTGTCGATTATTTTTTTATCTATACAATGAGTTTCAAGATTTGCTTTATTCGTGATACATGATAAGACACGTACGAGAACGACGTGTCATCGCTGGCTGCGGAATTGTTGATAATTCACACAAATGTACTCTGCGAATCGCACGTCGATCTCGATTTTGTAACGGTTGATTTTGCACATTATGCATCTTTAAATTTACTCATGACATGAATTCATTTATTTATAGAACTATATTCATGGAAAAAATAGTGTATTATTGCTAGGAAAAATAATAAATCAATTATTTCTTTTAATTTACATTTGTTTTTGACAAAGAATAATTTCTTGATAATGATCTTAAAATATATATACTCTTATTATGATTTTTGATAAAACTCATTATTATGTACTTAAAACAAGAATTTATTTTGTTTTGAAGAATATTATAAAATTGATCGAAGGAGCGGTTTTAATTTAATTTTAATTGAAATATCAAACTTACTACACAGAAAAAATGTTACGGTTGTCACAATCGAAAATAATGATAATTTTCGCCCTCAATACATTTGGTTGTGATAACCGTAAGATGGACATATCTTAACAGCTATAACCGTTAAAATATGCTAATCTTACGGTTATCACAATCATACTATAGTTCTTATAACCAAAAAAATGTATTGATGGGCGACTTTTGATCGTGGCAACCATAGCTGTTTTTTCCGTGTAGGATTTAGAATATACCTATAAATAAATTTGATGCTTGTGATAAACTGTGACAAGTTACATGAACTTTTGACATATTTGAAACAAGTAATTATTATTTGCGTACAATATGTATTTTTTTGTATATACATCCTGCAAAAATGTATAATCTTTTCAAGAAATTTAAATGTTTATGATATATCATATAAATAGTCTCAATACTTAATACTTACAAAACAAAGACACAATTCAGGGAAACAAGCTTACCTTGTGGAATATTTTTGATCTTCTGTGGCATTTTTTTGAAAAATTGATACTCTGCAATATCTAACACTTGCACAATATTTTATTTTTTAATAAGTTCGAATGTATTTTAAACATACGCATAAATTCCATAATACTACCTAGATATCGTGTCGTAATTTTTGAAATTATCAAATAATGTAGCACCTCTCTAATAATTAGCAACGAGAATTCACACGATTTAATCAGCGTTCAACATAAGACTGATTTCGTATGTGAATCGCCGTACTTATATATTTGCGTCTCCGTCGTTGTACAGTTAGGAATCCCAATTAAAGTTGCTGCCAACTGCGTCAAACGCGAGTTACATTAAAAAAAAGCCATAGTTACAACCGGATTGAATAGCTGGTAATACTAAACAGCTTAACAAACCTACAAATTTTGTGACATTTAAGTTTATTGGTACTGTCTGTACCAATCGATTTACTTATTTAAACATTAAGTACAACCCAGTTTATTTCTCTAGATGTACTTCCGCATATAAATTCCAAAAAAATACTACTTTTAGTAAAACTTAAATAAATAAAACTTTTCTATTAAATTTACAAGTTATTTTGATTAAATTACGTTAATTAATAAGGATAACATTTAATTAAGATAAAAGCTAGTATAAAGTTCCTTTTTTTTTTATTTCGAAAGATTATTTCGTAGAGTTTATTTCGAAAGATTAATAAACATGAATTCCTGGTAGCAGTTATCCTTGATGTTGCCATTATAACATCCAACGTTGGATTAAAGTATGAATATAGCTGATCAATTTAAGCATCCCTAGACACGCATATTGCTGAGGGTTACGTGGCTGCGAGAAATAACGCGTGACCCCACCGGGAAGATTTGACTAGAATTCTCTCTCTCTTACTCGATTCGCCTATAGAACAGTCTGGGTGGGGTATATGAAAGATCGCCGGGGTGCTCTAAATAGTGGTTGCTTCCACTTGATCGCGAGTGCTTCTCTGGATCGAACTCTAGAGTTTAGAGCGTCATTAGAGACCAAGTAATCGGGCGTGAATGCCTCAATGATGACGCCCGTTATGATACAAATACGACTGCTCTCCTGACGAATATCGTTCGACGAAGCGCTCAACGTTTTTCGCACGTCTTCCCACATGATTCCGAATTGACATTGTGATAACGTAATCTGCTGTAAAAAATTTATGAGAACATAGGTGATAAATCAGACTATTTGCCTCATTTCTTGCTCCGAGATCCACAATTTTTTCCTCTTACGATCTGAAACCCGTATCAAACTGCAGATTAAGATTGACATTGAATTGAAATTTGACTAATCGAAGCAAAGTTTACTAAATTTGATATTCGATTTCTTTCTTCTTATTGTTTAAATTTCAATCTGATCTGAATTCATATATTGGAAAACTTGTGTTAAATTTATCACATTTTACGTATCTCAAACGGTTTATTTAAGTTTTTGTGTTAATTTAACAAAAGATAAATATTTTAGAATATTACGTAAAAAATATGACATTAACATAAATTGTAGCAAACTGTGGAAACATATTTTTTCATTAAAATTAAGATTTATGAAATGTTATGTTAATATATGTATAATATTTTATTCATTCATTTTTGAATTTAATCTTAAAACACATTTATATTTTTGTGTTATTTAATTGCTCATAAATTATGTCAACATTAAGAAATATTGAATATTAATTTAACACAAAATATTTAAATAACATAATCACATTACGTTAAATTACATCGAGTATGTTAAAAATTCAACATAAAATTTTAACAAGGACTTGAATGAACTGTTTCTAACACAAATACAAAATATTCTTTACTATGTAGTCTGATACGAATTCAAGAATTGAAATCTGCTCCATTGTTCTTGCAATCGGGCGAGAAGATACAATAATATCCCGACCTGCGTGCAGCGGAAAGAACAAGGGAACATATGGACGCAAAATGTTACTTCCGTAAACTCACACCTCATATGTATACCCCTGCCGGTCCGTGACCTGCCTTACTGGCTCCTTCGGCGTGTAGCCTATCCTCCACGGCACGATATCGGTATGAAGAGATACGTTTCTCATCCTTTCTTACCCTCCATCCTGGTTTTTCTTTCCTTCTCTTCTTGTCTATGCTTCACACTCTCCCTTCCATCGGGCCGCGCTCCTTCATCTTCCGCAGGAGCAAGCGAGCAGGATTGTGATCAGGGAACCGATGGGTCGGCGGCTAGAGGGAGAACAGTGAGAACGGTCGTCGGCTCGGTGAGGAAGGCAGAGGGGGGATAACAGGCCCGTTTCTTGGATTTCTCTCTCTTTGTCTGTTTCTCTCTCTCTCCCTCTCGAGGAACAGCCGGCCGCCGGGTGGGCGGCAGTTGTCCAGGCGTCGGCAGTCTGCGTTCCGAGGCGACGTGGCCTGCACGGCGGAGCGACATACCGCGTCCTCTCCAATTCTCAGTGCGCTCTTTTCTCTTTCTCTCTCTCTCTCTCTCTTTCTCCTCCCTTCTTTCCTCTATCCTTCCGTCTGCTTCTGTACCCTCTCTCCAAGACTCTCTCTCTCTCTCTTTTTCTCCCACTTCAAACGCGTGTCCCTGTCCGCTCCTCTCGTCGCCGCCGTCTCCGTCCTTGCACCTAGCTCTATCTCTCTCCATCTATCGCGTACGCTCCTTGTTGCTCCAACACCTGGCTCGCGACGCGACTCTCCGCTCCGCTCCGGATACACAGCGGCTTCGTCAACGCGCCGCTGTCGTCTTCGCGGTCGCCGTCATCGTCGGTCGTCGCCGGCGCGCGGTGCATACACACGTTCGTATGCACTCCGTGAGAAGGAGAGAGAAGAATTCGCAGTGCCACGTTTCGATGTGCCCGGTCGTCGCCGTGTCGCGCGTGTTTCCTCCGCAGCACGAGGAGTAGTGAACTGTGCGCGGGCGCCGGACGACGCGAACCGCAAGCGAGCGGCGGTCGCTCGTTCGCATTTCCAAGCCTCGGTGTGTTGCTCGTACGCGGGTGTCAGTGACATTATTCTAGTCTAGTAGGTACAGCTAGCGGCCTAGAGCGACGACGCAGAATCCTCGCGGGGTGCCGTTCCTCGGACGCGGTGCAATCGTTCACGTTTCCCAAGCTTCGAGTGTACGTTTGAGTCAACTACGTTCATGTTATCAGCTGCGATACGGGAGTCTTACGGTATTTCAAATACGTCGCTACGATAGTTCCAGCGCGAGGATTCTAGTCATGATTGACACGTGTACGGAGAGAGCTGCGAGTTTTTAGCGATTCATTCGTCAACTGTTGAGATTTGTATATCGCTTCTATATGAAAAAAAAAAAACGGTTTTGCTGAAGTATCTAGAAATTCAGCTACATACAGATTCGAAAATAATTATGTTGAACGTTCAAGTTAGGCTGTCAAAATTATTTGCAGCATTGCTCATCATGCTTGAGAGTTTCCTGTAGATTATTTTGAACTAGAATATTATTATTGTGGATGTAAACAGAACTATTAATAAAACTTCCAGTTTTTGAAAGTGAAGTGTCAACTTCATAGAGACTTAGCTTAATCCTACAAAATTCTTTTCAGATCTGTATCAACCTAAATTTTTAGATATTTCAGCAGGCATAATTTTTTCGTATCGAGAAGGGAAATAAGTAAATTTCGATATATATTATATTTCGAGATATATTATTTTTCGATTTTAATCTTTAATTTTGTTTCTCATTTATAATATTTGACTAGCCATCGAAATTATACATTTAATTATGAAAATATCCCAAACGACTTGGCAACACCAGGCGTCTGTTTGACTCATACGCCTCGTAATCACGGCAGTTCCGACAGTCCAGCCTTCTGCTTTCTCATTCTCTTGCGATCGATAATATTCGATGTCAATGAATACTCCTTTCTCATACGACGACTTTTCAACACGTTCATCATTATTGCCCATGCGTGCTCGATATACCTGTTCTCGATATATTTGTTATCTCGATATACTCGATATCAATTCGATGTGTTTCATTGACATTAGATTTGTGATTTAGGTTGATTTCTATCAATGTAGATTAACTTTTCTAGGTATAATTTACTCTATCTTTTTCTAATTCCTAGAACTAGAAGAAGAAAATAAGTTAAACCTATAGATTTAAAGTTTATCTATACATTGGTAGAAATGCGTAGTATTAGCCTTTTAAATTATTGATTTACACGTCGTACATATGTCGTGATGCTTACATAGATTTTATCGCGCGTAGAAAGTTAACTATGATGAATGGGATGTATTATGTACTCTTTAATCTATTCTACGACATCAGATTTAATCTTTTAGATAATTTAAATTTTACTGAAAAACTATGCTTCCACAGCTTGCTTATAAATTGTGCCAGTATACTTTTTTAAATATTAATGTTAATTTTTTTTATATAATATTTGTGGTATTTTTTAACATGTTCATCTTATGTTAAATTAACACAAAAATTTGAATGGACCGTTTGCGACACGTGAATGTGTTAAATTTCACACAAATTTTTTAATTGTGTACTTTTTTACTACTGAAAAATCAACAATAACGTCATATCGGCTATCAGTTAAGTGTTGCGTGTTTATCTGTTATTATCGGTATCGCATAAGCCGGATAAATATGAGATACCGTGCAAGGTAAAAACAGTGTAATTTGCCTAGTATGCTTAATAAGCGGCGCAAACACGCTCCCCAAGATAACATTAAAGAAATATTCAGTCATCATTATCGGAAATATTAAAAATTTCGTATTAAATACACAACGCGGGTTCCTTCTTCTCATCGACAGTTCAGATATATCGTGTCGCTTGAACAATTTTCCCGACGCTGCGTCGAGAGAGACAGATCGCTGTGGGATAAGAAGAAAGTTTATATCGTTTTTATCGAACGCGAACGATTATGTAATAGACGCCGAGAGCGAGGAGCAGCGCGAGTCGACAAGTCGCACGACAAAACTGGTCGAGGCGGAGACGTACACAGGAGCACATATAACACCGCGTTTACTCACGCGCCGGCTCTCGAGTCGTGCGCGACTTCTTAATTTGGTTGGATCGCGATACTTTTACTTGAATTGGCACTGCCTAGTACAGTACCCCGTTAATTCGCTCGGCAAATTTACTCGACAAAGATCGGAGTATATAAATAATCGTGATTCCTGCGCGGCTTGATTATTCTCTAAGGTATTCAGCAATAAATAATGAGTTTCAAGTCGGCAACATCAATCGAAGATAATAAATACCTTGAGAATGAATATCTTGTTTTATGCTATTAACTGTTCTTAAAAAAGACTAATGTGTGATCGATCAATGCATCTTTTTGTGTCAAAATTTATTTAACCTTTAAGTGGATAGATGGGGTGGCCATAGCACCTTAAGGCACGTTGTTTGGATTATGAAACTTTCGGGATAGATTCCGATCGGAATTATTTTGTTTTCGTTAGAAAGCACAATGGAAATCTAGGGAATAACTGAACAATTTCGATTGGATAATTCCGGATAATTCTATAATACGTATAGTTTTCTTCATCAGAAAATCTTGTTCTGGAAAAGGAAAATAAAATACTGCCCAAATACTCAAAAGTCTTAAAGCCACTTTGTGAAGTGGCCACCTCGAAACATTTTTTTTTATTTAATCTACCGAACTACTTTTAAATTTATTGAGGAACTCTAAAACTTTTAGGGGGTGAAGAATTGCGCAACAAAAATTTATTTTAAAAAATGTACTAACTTCACAGTGGTTCTTAAAATTAATTATTTTTATGTTCCTGTTTCATAAGGGTATAACTAATGCTCGGTCCACAACTTTGCTTTAAGAGGCCGTAAGCCGTAAGCCTTAAGAAATTGACTGATCACAGTGTTGAATATGAGAAAAATAATCGACTGTGATTGTGTGGTCAATTTCTTATAGCTTACGGCTTACGGCCTTTTAAAGCAAAGTTGTGAACCGAGCATAATGTAAATTTAACTATAACATAATTATTAAAAAATAAAACTAGTGAGAAATATAAAATTAATTTTGTTTTTGTCTGGGGACACCTCATCCACCAATTTGAGTTTCTTTAAATTTATATTGGTATTTACTTATTTAAAGGCTAAAATCAATGGCTGATTTCATTTCATTCATGTCCATTTGTGAGGCGAGATTGTCTCTAAACTCATTTGAATTAATATATATAGGCTATATGAATGAATGAATGTTTATTGATTTCCCTTGGGGATACAAACAATTACTTATTAGTTTACGCAGACTATGTTTGAAAGTTGTTTTCTGTATTATTATCATCATTCCTTTTTTATAACGGAATTACTCATCGCCAAATCTCATTCTTCCTCGTCAATGTCTCGAGTGATTCGCTTTTTCTATCTATTATTCCACCTGCAGCAAGTTACTTTTTAATGCATCGCGACGTTTTATGCTGAATGCGAATTATCGTAAATGACTCGAACGATTGTGCTCGATAGGATGAAATCATTCTCGGTTGTATCCTTAGTTGCCCCTTGGCGAGCATGAACTCATCGTCTCCTGGTAAACGACACTCTAATGGAAGGAGTAAAACAACATTGAAGACGTCTGCAACGACTAAATATCCTTACATGGTCAACCAGAGACAAATTCGCGGATTGTGCCGTCAGTAAACATTGCGAGAGGTGCGATTCGATTGTAGGCGGGTACGTCTAGGCAAATACAGGTGGGGCCTGTTCAATTTCAGGCTTAAATACGTGCTAACCGGTCCCTTCCTTTCGAAACTAGATTCGACGAGCCTAAACGAGTTTCCCATTCTTGGTAGCATCAGCAGGTAGAATTCACTTTTCATTATGGCATTCACAGGCAATAGGAACTTTATTATCGTTCATGGCAGTAAAGACGATTCTATCGAGGGAATTTCAGGATAATGCACACTAAAACATGTGAGTCAGCGGTATTCTTTCTCCCGATGATGGAAAAGACTACAAAAGTGATGCTCCTTCCGTAAGGAATCTTGAGTTTGTCAGGCTGTACGTCTTTATCGCTAATTCTCACGGTTGCTGGTCACCCTTTATTTGTACACTTGTTAGCTGGTACTTCGTGGCAAGAATAAACGTGATTCTCCACCCATGCTGCTTGTTGACGTCGGCGGCGATTGCATTGCATTGTGATCGAACGCGGTGCACGTTCGCGTCCGCGCAGATTACGCCTCCGCCAGCGCAACCTGCTCTCGGTATAGCTCGTGACATCCGTGCGAACACTTTCGTATCTTTCGTTATCTCGTGCTAACCCACGTACTCCGCGGCTCGCACAGCCTTTTAAGGGTCGATCGCGACCGAAGGTATCACCTTCAATTGTTCTGTACTCTCTTTTTGAGATCAATCTTTAAGCCCGTATCAGACGGATTGAATTTTGTTTGGAATTCAGTCAATCAAAGCGAGATCCATTAAACTTGATATTGCAGGTTTTTTTCTTCTAATTCGTTAAATTTTAATCCTCAATCTCCAGTCTCAATTTTAAATTTAAAATCAGATATGACATTCTATCAGTTTCAATTTATAATGTCAAATTATAAACAATTTTGGTTATTTTTAATCGTTTCTGCAGGTCGCCACTGCCCGATGCCGTTAATTTGACTAAAACAATAGAGTTAAACAATTTAACTCAAGAAAACGTATTAAATTTGACTCAAATTTAATTTATTATTTACTAAATATATACGTTAATCTGGCCGATGTTTATTTTGAAACTAACAACAAAAGTGGATTAATTTACATTTTGACACAGAAGGAAGTTAAAAATAACAAAATGTTATTTAATTTAAGGGATTGGGTTATCGTTGCTCCTTTATTACATTTTTTTTTGCAAAATTTATTATTGTCTACCTTGACTTTGATAAACATGGGGAAAAGCCCTATATGTTTTAAAATTTGGAACATATGATATACCAATCCAATTTCAATTCTAAACAATCTGATACTGGTTTTAGACAAATCTTTAGGTTAAAATAAAATTTAAATTGGTTTGCAATGTAATGGGAAAAAAAATTTTTTTTTTTGTATATTTATGATAACGATGGAATTTTTTATTCACGCTTCGTCACGTTGAGACATCGGAGTCATCGCCTCAGGAAGCGACATGTTTGTTCTGTCATCATCACGCCTACTTTGCCTACCTTTGAAATCGATATATCCTCGGTTTCTCATTACCTTAATCGTTCGTGGTCCCTCACCTACTACCATGTGACTACATATGTAATTCATCATACGAGCCGACGCCCTTTCAAGGGGTAACCACGGCCGAGCGACCAACGTCCTACGAAAATCCATAGACGTCGATTACGCAGAAAAGATACGGAATTGAAGGTACGGATAAACGCGTGGGTAACTTTTTCGTAATCCACGCGGGACGCGCGACTCGATTAGTCTCGGCGGGCCTCCGAGTCCCCTTCAAGGTTGATCGCGGAGGGAGTAACCTCGCCTGGGCCCCGGGAGTAATGGGCCGAGATCGACTGCGGACCCGTTATGCGACTTGGCGCAAGAATGCCGCCGAGCCGGCCTCCGCGTAGCCCGCGTTATGCCGCTCGAGATACGAGCGCGCGCGCGTGCCTTCCTCTCCTTCGCTGGTTCCTCCTTGGTCTCACGCGAGGGAACATACCTCCCCCTCGGATTTTTTCATCAATCCTTCGTTGAATGTAATTTTCCTTTATCTCTTTGACTGTACGAGCCATCACTGGGAACAATGTCTGGAATGGACATTCGAGAAAATTCTGATTATATCAATCAGAATTCTGATTATCTCAATTATAAGAATTGTAGTAGATTTAATCAGAAAATTCTGATTCGTCCATTTTCAACCACCCTCTAAAAAATATCGGTCTGGATTTACCGCGTAGTGTCCATATAATTCTTATCGTGTATTAATATTAATTGCTTTTCTCTTTTACACCAAAACAGATAATTCTCATTTGTGATGTCGTAACTCAGTTGAATGCACGTTTTTTTTTATTCTGATAATGAGATTCAACTGAGTTTTTACCTACAATCTGCACAAGTTTGAGATCATGTACTTTACCGAGTCTTATTAACTCACATTAAAAGTGAAGCTATAAATCTGTGTTATGCGATAACTTTGTCATTAAACTAAGCAAGTAGTGACGTAATTATCTAAGTATAAAATACATGATTTTAGATTTAGTATCACTTATGCGAAAATGGAAAGTAACTACTATTAACATCAATATGGTGTGGATTTAAAACCCATGCTGTTAAATTCACACCATGTTGATATTAACATTAACACCAGTGAGAATTATATAAACACTGTATGGTGTTAAATCCGCACCGAGATTTTTTTAGAGTGCAGAATTCAAATTGATGCAACCTGCAGACATTTTTCTCAGTGATCGCAAAACTTTCGCTCACAGACGTGCCACTTCTAGCTCTTCTAGCTAGCTATTGCGATATTCGTGTATGCACATAAGCAAGTAATAGCGCGCATAGGTGATTGCGCGAGGCGAGGCATTCGTAATATCGTAGTTTCGCTCCGTCATTTAACTTGTCGGTTAATACTCCGTAGTTATATATACGTGTCTGCGCGCCTTCGCCCCACGCTCTGCGCGCGATGTTAGATATTAACGCATCGGAGATATTAATGCTCAACCCTTCACAGACAGTTTCTCTCGCGCGGCACATAGCGCCGGTCATAGTGCCGCTATTGATGGATCCGAACTTGATGCATCCGCGTTTTTGGCATACCTTTACACTCTCGCGGTATATGACGCGCGCTCCGCAAGCGGACTATGCTCATATAAGGCGCACGTATACTCTCGAGGATGCAAGAGAGTAAGTTTTCTCGGAACGCATGATTCAGCACCCGGCGACATTAAGTGCGAGACCGTCGTCGTATACGCCATTCGGCGTTTAATGAATTAACAAGAGCCCCGTCCATTAGGCGCGTCCCGATGTGGTACGGGATCAATTAAAGCCACATTCACGGGTCAACGAGCGGCGAAAGATGCATTCTCCTCGGTTCGCGCTTAGCTCCAATTGAATTCAGAACGGAAGGGATACCGTTAGATTTTAAATCGAATCCAAAAACGAGCAGCGAATTCAGCCGCGAATTGTTAATTCACGCTCGACGAAAAAACTCTAATTGCTTTCGCGTCGAGTATGGATTCGGGTTTTTCGAGAGCCAGGTTTTTTGTTTTGTTAAAAAACCATTCTTTTTTTCTCGCGATTGTATTAACAATTTAACAACGCCGACGAGGAATATACGGGATCGGTTCTTGCGTGTAATGACGATCGGCTTGTCGCAGAATCGACCTCATCTAACCGTATGTCGCGTGGCGACCGCGTCACTTTGTTTTCTTTCCGTTTCTAATTTCGTGCGGGCACAAGAGTGACGACCGGCTTTGGCGTGCAGGGTGCGTACGTGCGTAGTGCATTCGATCGCGCGCCCGACGAGACCGATTCGATCGTGTATGCGCGTCGCGCCTTCCGTCGTTGCGACGACGCACTTTTCGTATTCCGCGCACGCAATTCCTATCGTCTTAGGCATTTAGTTCTGGTTTTCCTTTCTTTATACTGAATCCTTTTAAATTTTATTTCGAGAGAGAGACCGTTTATTAATATTCTCTCGCGTTTATTAATATTCTTTTAGGAAGTGTGTGCGTGAGAATATTAATAAACATTCTCACCTCTCTCTTTCTCTTTTTATCTTTCTGACTGAATTCTTTGTAAATTTTATTTTCAGAGAGAATGTTTATTAATGTTGTAAGCGCAGGATTAAAACTAGAAATCAGGGAAATCATGGAAAGTTAGGGAAATTGAAAATGTTCAGGGAAAAGTCAGGAAATTTTGCAAAATTTTCTGGGAAATTAAAATTCTTAGTCTGGAAATCAGAGAAAAGTTGGAATTTTAGAAAGAACAATTTGTAGCAATCCTGAAGGCGAGCCCCATAAGAACATAGAAAAAAGAAAGACCGAAGAATTAAAGTAAAGAAACAAAAATATGAAATAAAAATAATATAAATCTGTGAGAGAGAGAGAGAGAGAGAGAGAGAGAGAGAGAGAGAGAGAAGAGGGAAGAAAGGATAGAAAGAGAGTGTCTACTGAACGGTAGTGCAATAATCTCCTGACAGTCCCCGCCGCCGCATCGGCGAATTGGTCCATGACGGACCTTCCTGACACACGCACCGACCACACGACAGGCACCCACGTACCCATTCTCCGTTTACCATATGCGGGGAGTTCGATCTCGCGGTTAGGCGCGCTTCCATCGTCGCCTTAAGGCTCTGCCGATGCCAGGCGTGTGCGTCGGCGCTCAGTCTCCACGCGCCTCGCGGATCGTCAGTTTGAAAAGGTCGCTCGATCTGTCCAATTCGCCCGTCCATCTATCCGTTCGATTTCGCTTTTCTCTCGGTGTTTTTCACGGCCGGAGAACTTCGACGCCGTGCAGCTCCAGTCGTAGGTGCGTGTTGTAGACATTACAGTGTTCATGAATTAGAAAAAGGAAAGTAAAATTATCTGCCGGTTTATACTCAATAGTTTCAGTTTATTTTGCCAAGTGAAGGAATTGATAGAAAATTTGTTGTTCGAGCAACATATAGTGCAATGTTCTCATAAAATTTATCCGTCAAATCCGACATTATTAGCCGTGTTTATAAATTCTGCGATTTATTCTTGTTTGTCTGTATAAAAATATACGAGTTTGCTATTAAGGTCTATAAATTTTCAGACAAAAGAGATTGCGAATATTCGGTTAGATAAATCACAAGCTAATTATATTTAATCACATTTTATTACTGTTGTTGCGGTTGTGCTGTTACCCTATCCTAGTCGTTAGCCTAATATGCTGGACGATCGATTACAAATTTGATGGATACGCGTGGGTTAATGGTATGTACCGGGCGTAACCGTGATCGAGTTTCCAAGTTCCTTACTAGGCGTGCACCAAGGCTGTTGATTTCTAATCTAATGCGGATATATCGACCAATCCTTTTTATTCTGATCTCGTTACTCTTTGTTTCCAACAACTCTGCTTTTCTACGATTCCCTCGATCGTTTGCGATTCGATGGCTAGTGCATCAATTTACAGTACTTCTTTCATGAATAATAATGAATTAACCGCGTTATTATACGACCTGTAACTGGAATATATAAGTCTTGGTGATTCAAAAGTTTTTCCTAATTTTTAAATATTAATGATTTGGAATAATTTTACGTTTCACCATCTTATTTTTCACAGTTCTAAACATAAAAAATTTTTAGAAGATATAAAACTAACAGCAAAAACTTTAATGAGTCCTAAGGAATACGTTCTTTCAGCACCAAAAAATATGTGTCTCTGTAACGGGTTAAGAGGGTATACCAATAGTTATAGTAAGATTTTAGGATCATTTTCCAAAAATAAAATTGTTAGTCCTAAAATTGTCGAGGTTTCTCTCCGGCCACGTTTCATTTTTATAGAGTTACTCTTATCAAACTTCTTTTAACGTTCGAATATCTCATTCGCGCATTGCGCATTATCATTGCACAGGTTTTCCATCTTCGTGTTGTCACTGACAGCAGCACGACGGCGAGTCGGGTGTTTTTCGAGAATTCACAAAGTGCCATATCGTATAAGAGGTTGAGGCGACACGCTCTCATTTACATACGCCGCGCGGCAGATTGGAATCCGAAGGTGAGGGAATCCTTGGCCGATTCCTCGAACGACGGGAGGGTCCGAGAGAAAACCGATCGCGTTCCAGCCGAAGCTGGTGCACGTTGTGGTAAACAACGACGAATAATCGGCGGATACCACGGAGATTCGCGCGTAGTACATTCCGCTGCGCTGTCGAATATACGGCGATAAAAACGAGAAGGAAACACGAGACTATTCAACGAACGACGAGCTGAAAAGCCGAGAGCTCTTCCAACTCGAGAGCGAACTTTGAGAGAAAAAATTTACGAAAATGTAAGAAGAATATATTTACGCGACTGGAAGCCAACAAACTAGGCGTGTCCAGGTATACTTCGAAAGAACGCGAGATTTCTACGAACACAAACGTCGAATGGTGAACGCGATTTAAACGCGGAATAAGCGAGCTAATCGAGCCCTGCCGCCGGCTGTTGTCAGGGCGGCGGAGAACGGTGCCGGTTCCGCGTTCTCGTGTCGTGAAGTGTGTCATGATAGTTCGCGCGTGAGCTGGGCATGAACGTTGAAACCTGCACCCTTTACTTCGCTGGGACGGCCCGGGGCCCGGAGAAGGACAGGATGTCGACCCAGGCTTACTACAAGGAGCGGCTCGGCTTCGACCCGGCGGACACCGTCGCCGAGCATCAGCGCGAGCAACGCTCTCAGCACGGTTACGAGGAGTCACTCTCCAAATTCAAAGGTCAGAATGCGAACGGATTCCCGGAGGGTCCGGGATGCAATGGCGAAATCGGGGAACACCGTGCTGGCAACACCCAGGCTTTCTGGGGCTGCTGGGCGATGTTCATTGAGGCGCACGGTAGGTGAAGAGAGAGATGTAGAGAGTTGGCATGCGGATGCTGGAAGATTTTTCGTGAAAGCTCAGTTGTTTTTATTTTTCCCTTTTTGCCTTTTTGTGTTTTTTGTTGTACCCTGAAATTTTTATCTGTATATATACTCCTTTTTTTTTTTAAATAAGTAAAACAAACAATTTGCTATTTATCTGATCACCGATTTTATATAAATCCGAAACGAAAGACGTTCTCCTTGCGCGAAATTAACGTCTTTGGGATTAAATCGTTGGAATTTTTATTCCAAGCACGTAATAACCTTCGCAACATGCTAATTTCGACATTCCCGCCCGATTTAAGAGCGGAGGATACTTTAAAAAAAACAGCTATAATTATAGAACGGTTCCTATAAAACGACTATAATTCGATGTTGGCTATTGAAGTGAATATTCATGATACCTTTGTCGGTAGAAAACGTAACATACATTAATTTACGATATAATAAATCAAACTCCTAAATGTACAGAGCATTATTTCCATGAAACTGATATCATTTCTAAAATTAATATTCTATATATTAATATTCGCGTTTTATAATAATTATATTATAGTTTAACCGCGCTTATACATAAAAATTGCACAAATATTTCCAATCGTTCATTCAAATATGCAATGCGTTTGCCTGTAGTTTGCAAATTGTAAATTTACTCACACACAGTGTGATGATATTGCTTTACTAACTTGGCGATTAAATTTGTTCCACCGACCGCGCTTGTAACACGCGCGATACGCGTCTAAAAGATTTGAGTTACGCTCGCGACGTTTGTTTGATAAATGTTTGAGTTATGAGTGTCGCTTTCCTCGCCTCACCTTTTTAGCAGTGTAGTTTACGTGTGGAATATCCAAAGTTACCGTTTGTGTATATAAAATAAATAGACGGATAACAAAAAGTAGCGGTTATCTTTTATCGTTTGTCTGTTTATAGTATATCCATTTCCATCAATGTATATTAATCTCGGTTCAATTTACTCTTCATCTTTTTCTATAGTTCCAATGATGAAGAGTAAGTTGAATCAAGTTTAAAGTTAATCTATAGGGGATAGACAAAATAATATAAATACCTATTTAGAAATACATTATATATATATTACTGTTTTATTAATAAGAGCGGCTTTTTATTTGCGTTTAATATATTCCAAGTTTTAGAGAGTGTACATTGGTGGAAACGAGCATAAAGTCGTAATCACACTACCGATTGCGATTGTGATTGGTGATTACTTGTCAATCAATTCGAGCGAAGTAATCTGAGGTGACTGTTTTGCTCTGATTGGTTGAAAAGTAATCGCCAATCACTGTCGCAATCCAATCGATAATCTTATGGGGAATTCAGCAGACCGCGCTAATACGCATTGAGTGCGAACTTTTTCAGTGCCACGCATTCGGCTGGTACGCACTGTATCAATGCGTTAAGATAATGAAAACTGACTCAGTAGTGTACACTGAAAAAAATGCACGTAATTTTACATGGAAATTACATGTTCATTACTGGAAAATTGCCTAAATATGATTGGAAATTTACAATTTCCAGTAAATTTCCAAACATATTTATGTAATTTAGATAATTTTCCATTTATATGTGTAATTTTCATGTAAAATTACATGCACTTTTTCAGTGTAGTGCTGAATTTATATTCGGACCAACCGAATGAACTGAACGAGTTCAAAAAATGTTGCTCTGACGTTTCTGACAGTGCAATTTGGCATAGCACTAAAGTTCTGCACTCGCATGTCAGGGCAGCACTAGAGCGGAGTCAGTGCATGTGTGCCGAATTCGCCATTAGTGTGATTACGGCTTTAGACGGCTTAGGATTAGCGTCTGTCAACCTCCGTCCACCCCCAGAGAATCCGGTGAAAAATTTCAGAATTCGACGCGTCGTATTTGCGAAGTCACGCGGATCCGGTGTTCCACGCACGCGGAGTTATCCGCGGCCCACCATTTTACAATTACGCCAAGTAGACAAACAATAAACAATGGCCGTCACTTTTCATAATCTCTGCCCACTCGGATTGCGCATTGCGACTCGTATACGCCCAGTTAGCTGCTTTTCACTTAGCGCAAAAGTAAACGGCCGGAAGGCTCGTACAAATGACGTCAGAATTGATCGCTAATTTAATCGTAATTACCGACATCGCGTCCGGCGGAGAGTAATTCCACTCGTGACGCGGCCGTTACGTCGTTGTTATCGACGTTGTTGCTTTCGTATCGTATCCCGCGCCTTGTCTCCTCGGGGTTCTTTTGACGGAGCTGATGGAACGAAGGACGCGTATTATGAAATCGAGAATCTCTCGTCCGCGCGTTACGATCTCCTCTTACACGAGCTTACCAGAGGTGCGGTGATTAACGGAAGTGTTAAAATACGCTCGCGTCGTTGCTCACGAATGAGGTACATGAGATACATTGGCCGAAGATGTCAATCACGGTTAGGCCATTCTCTTTCGTAGCTTCTGTAAAGGTGCCTTCGGACGATATATTCGCTCGATGAACGTTTGCATGCATACAAAATGGAGTAATGACTAAAACTTGGATCTGTAAAGTTAGTACATTTTCTTAATATAAAACAAAATTAAGCCTGTTCCAGTAGTACTTTTCATAGTTCTTTATAGAAATAAAAAAATGTGGAACTTGTTTTTATTTTTATAAAGAAACTGTAAGGTTTTTTATAAAGGCAAAGTTAAGACCTAAATTATCGTGCTAAATGAAAGATTTATTAAGCCTAAGACAAAAAATTTTATTAGAATTGTTAGAAACACCGTGGCGAGGATCGTACATCAATGTCAGGATATATCATATAATAAATGTATAATACTTAATAAAATTTATCATCAGAAATATATTTTGATCTATAATACTATTCTCTCTCCTTGATTTGTCGAAAGTTTGATAACTGGACAATGTTATCTGGCACCATCCTAAATGCCGAAAGGGTATCGCTTAAATTACAGCCAAGAACTTCCGAAAAGAATAAATACCGATGAATACATTCATTGACGTTTATCTTTAGCCCCTGCAATGCCAGTTACTGTTCTCAGAGCTTCCACATTCCAGCATTCGTATCTGCTAATAACAAGAACTAACTGAAGAAAGCGTGCGTCAATATATATATATATCTATACGCATTTCTTCAAGATTAGTTCATGCCTCTCTTCTACCGATGCGCTTTATATTGGAATATTTGAAAGGGATAAAATATACATATAATTAATTTTTAATAACAATTGATATATATTTTTGAAGAAGTAAGGCATATTATATCAGAATTTTTAATTATGTAATTAAAATATATATGAGTATAATTAAATTATAAATGTATAGCAACTAATTTATTATAAAATATTTAAGAAACATCTGCTATCTATTTTTTGGAATAATTTTAATTGGATAGCCTACAATTTATCGCCACGTGTTATAATTTTTCGTCGATCATGAAGTTTTTTGCGATTTGATCGTGAAATTGATTGTCCATTGGCATAGATTAGCGAAGACGAGCGATTAAGGCCATACCAATTAACGACTGACAATTCACGCGAAGCTATAGTTATGGCAGTGGAAATTGAATTCTCCGAAATTACGTTAGCTCGTGATCGGTAATAGGTCGTTGTGGTACAACGATTAGACATTGAAAGATGGCCTTCGCAAGTTTAGACTCTGACTCTTCCCTGACGTCTATAAGGTGTCGGAACGTTGAGAAACTGACAACCTTTCCTTGCGTTTTGTATGCGATTTGCAGTTTCGTCTGATAATTTCTATTCCAGAGAGTCACGATTAAGAAATCTTTCTGTTGAGATTTTATTCTGTCTACTGAAAAGATCGTCATTATTTACTCTTACTATTATGACTGATTTAACTGATTATACGCTGGAAGTTGTTCCATGTAACAGATTAGATCATCTCTCAGTCAATCCTGTCTTCAACTATGTCAATTAAACTTAAAACGTTAAGAGATTATTCAACTGTAGTGTACGTCGAAATATAAACTGATTATCCTAGAAATAATAGTACATATAAATGAAAATTTCTGTATTTTTCTTAATTAATATATAAATACACATATAATTGTTTCGTTATCTTTCCAGGAAAGATAATAAAAATATAATATGCATTACAATTAACAAGTAAATTAAAAAGTAAAAGCAAAGCAGCATTCACGCCTTATTTTTCTTCTAAATGATTTATTAAGAAAGCCCTTTTGCGTAAGTTTGTATTTAAAGGAAGGTCGACTTTTAATTCACAAGAAAATTTATCATTGGAAGTTAAATCACGAAATGTGGGATTCTTTGCATTATTAATTGCCGCGTTAATTGCTGCGCCTAAGCATAACTCGAATGCAGTTTTGAATTGTTAAACAAGGTGTTAAAACTGGGCCAAAGTTGGACCCAACAACGAGGCAAGATAATCTACGAAGAACAAATGCTCGGTTCGCAGAGTAGAATGGAATGTTTGATTTCGCGTAACCTGCAAAGTTTGTTAAGCCACGCGCACGTGCGTGAGTATAAGACATTAATGAACTTTCCGCGGATTCATACTAAGCAAAGTTTCCGACACATACTTGTCACGCGAGATCTTTACCGTTCTGAAAAAAATTCTTTAAAATTAACATACACTTTACAATGTGCAGCTAATGCATGTCATTATGTCATCCTGTATATTTAATTATAATATTGATTGTACACATTTTGCTAAATGTACATTTCAGTCCAAAAGCTCGGAAACATTTTTTAAAAATTAATATTTTTGAAATTATTTACTCAACTAACCATAACACAATGTGTCTTTTTAATTCTTTAAAATCCAATAAAACAGTTATCTCGGATCTAAAGAATTATTGTTGTAAAAAACACATTGTTATAGATATTTTCCAAAGATTGGAAATATTTAAAAAAATTGACATTTACTCAAATATCTATAACAATGTTTTTTGAAACAATAGTTCTTTAGATCTGACAACAATTATATCCAATAACAATAATATTATATATATTTGAGTAATCCCAAAACATGTTAATTTTTAAAAAGTTTTTCCAAACTTTTGACCTGGAGTGTATATCTTACAGGTGGACAATATATTGCACTTCCTTTTATGCTATCATTTTTGCGACGCGTATCACGTAGGAGTCGTTGAACGCGTTATGTGCGTTCATTAAAATATTTGATCGCAATTCTCTCTCACGAGAGTGACAGGCGTACTCGGAAAATATGATCATTCACAGGGCAGTCCACTCGAGATATTTCTAAATCTAGAGAAGTGCTCCCAAGAGTATATCTCTTTTTTTTTATCTCTTATTTTGTATCGTCTGGCGGTATTAGGCTGATACTTCCTGCCGGCTTGTCGACCTTTTAAACATACCGGTCGATGTTACCGCCACTCAAGTGGCGTTAACTTTTCGCTGGGTATGATGAGGTGTCAAGTATGCGTTGTAAATCATAACTTTAGATGGTAAATTAATGAGTATCGATAAAACTCCACGCTAATTCTCCGCAATTATGACCTTCGATAAATAATTTATGCATTAATGTCTTATTAATTTGACGTACGCGCTACTTTTTATACTCGTCAATTTGCCACAACTGAATGATGAATCAGTGCTCTAATTCAATTTTCAATCTTTTTCAAGAAGTTCTAAAGCTTTTACTTTTTACTTTATTGTTTTAAAAGTCTTTATGTAAGACTTTTATATAAGTTTTTATATAAGATTTCATCAAACACCTCGGAAAGTGATGTTATTACAATGGCAATATCACTTTGATTAAAATGAGAGTAAGCACAATATAAGATATTTAGATAATTTTCACAATTTTTTTATTTCATGTCTTACTCGCTTCTTAATTATTTCTAAATTTTTTGTCCCTTTTTATTTTCTCTAAAATTTTTTGCACACTTGGGGACCCTTTGCGACACATCGGTTGAAAAACTCTGCTCTAATTGCACAGATATATGTTGTGTACAACGTCTATTATTACCTATAGCCAATAGTTAATTTGTACGCGTTTCGACATCTTGAGCCCAATCACCGAATACGAATCTTCAGTCTCATGACTGGGATGTCATTTAAAATTACTCATCCGTGTTTCAATAACCGCAATACGCTACAAAAATATATCATTAATTCATAAGAAACCCCGGACTTTTTTGATGTTGGCGTCCTTGCGGTCTCGGCCGTTGCGTCACATCGGTGACAAAACGGAAGGCCTCGAATGATAATTTCACGATGACTCGAGATGCGTATTTCACAATATCCGATTAATAGATATGAGATGTTTAGTACACGGAAATAACTATTTATATGAAATATCTAATATTTTAGTTAGATACAGGTCTGAAAATAATTTTGTTATACTATCAAAATAATTATGTAGGATGCTTAAGCTTGTTGCTAAAATGTTAAAACTATTTACAACATTGATCATCATACTTTAATTTTCTACATAATTATTTTGATGTCTAACAAAATTACCTTTAGATTTATATATAGCTAAATTTTTACACTGAAAAAAGAGTGTGATTGCATTATTTCGGGTTAAAAATGGGCAACGAATTTTCTGGTTCCGTTTTCAATCAGAAATTTTTTTTAATATAGTTACTTCAGCAAAATCGTTATTTCCACGGAAACTCAAGTCTTATTTGTATGATTTTATTTGTGGATCAATACAGGAGACAGTATTCTTCGATTCTATCCCGTATTACGAATCCCGTATCGCGTAAGGTGGGCTTGGATTTTATTCATGCGGTCCATTGTCCGTACTTTTGTGCTTCGCATGCCAACCGATGTATCGAGCAGCTTGCCAAGCCGGCCGACCTTCCGTCCACTCGCTCGCTCGCGCCTACCTATCTACCTGTCTACCTGCTTGACCTCATCCAACTTGACCTGCTCCGATTGCCTGCGACTTTGGTTTCGTTATACTGACCTCGACCATCCTTAAAGGCTCATTTCCAGGCGGCGTTGCGTCATGACGTTCTCGCTGTCACGCTAGAGTCGTATGCATAACGTTACATCGCCGCAGTATAGTAATGTAACAACTACACCTATATCAGTGCGACGAATTGCGAAATTCAATTGTCACGGTAATCTATATCGTTGCTGTGTTGATGACAATAGTCGCGGCGACATGTACCGTCTATAGTTTGAGCACTGCTTATATAGCACACGTGCTACGTTTGTGCAGCGTGACATCGAGCAAGGCTACGCTCGTTGCATAAATGTAGTGGCAATTATGATAATGGAATATAACACAAATTGATGACAATTACGCTAATGTTATGAGGGGATGTTTTGTATTTACATTGATTACTACGAATACAGGTGCATAATGCATTATTACGAAGCAACATTGCATTTCTGATAACATTGCAGTAATCGCTGAAGGAAATTTCACGTTTCTAACATTTCTGCCCTTTTTGTGTGTTCACAGACGAACGAGACGCTATACAGAAGAAGACCTTCACGAAGTGGGTGAACAAGCATTTGAAAAAGGTGAGACCGCTTCTCGAATTCTCGGATTCTCGCGTCAGTTTTATATTATCCTGCGGCGTTTTCTCGTTACTTTACGTCATCTTAATTAGTTTGATGGCACTGACGCAAAATATATCGTCTATTGGGGAAATGTGAATAAATTTGGGGTGAATTATAAGAGACATTTCAAGAAAATTATGGATTATAAAAATTTTGTGCGTATTAAAAAATTTAATATTTTGATGATTTGTAGCAAGAATTTTGAAACAAAAATCAATGTATCTTTTCTCAGTAGAGGATGTTTCAAGTCGACCATATTTCTTTTTAAAATTAAATGAGAAAATTAATATTTAAGAGAGAATATGTTTTGAGATACTCTATATAACGACTACAGGCTCGGATTACAGTAGAATTGTGTGACACCCTAGGCACACAGACTTCTATTAGACTGATCACTTCGCCATCATGTTTGATGTCAAACAGTACCATCGATAGAGGCTACCATTTTATATCCACATACAGATACAGTCTTGGCCAAAAATATTAGGCACCTACATATATTTTTTCATTTATCTGAAATTTATCTGCATTATTACCTATTGGTTAACTGCATTATACGTTTAAAGGGTTCTTAAAACAATGAATAATTTACAGCAAATGCCATAAATTAATTTTCGAGCTGAAACTTTGAATAATGATTAATAAAATGCCTAATATTTTTGATCAAGATTTTATATATATATGTATATATATATAAAATATAACACAATATACAGTCATGGGATACATTCAGATCACGTGGTATTTACAATATGCATAGTGTTCATAGGTAGGCATTGGTTGCATTCAACAGAGAAAACTAATGAGCATTAGCTTAGTAATTCTTAATATGATTGGTTCCTACATTTACAATTAGATTCAGCGAAGAACTAGGCAAGACCCAATCATATTAAACTGAGTGCTCACTGATCAGTTTTCTCTGCTGTACGCAGCCATTAAAATCTTGTGTCCATGATGCTAGAACTCGATCCGAGTTCTCGGATCGTGAAATGTGTAACCAATCAGCTTACAATTTTTACGGAAAACTGGCAAGTTGATTGGCTACACATTTCTCGATCCGAGAACTCGGATCGAATTCTTGTATCGTGGACACAAGACTTAACAAGGTCTTCTTGGCATCAATTTTGTCTTTTTCTGTCACATGCAAAATAATTGAAATGAAGTCTATATAGTTTTAGAAGCGTGTGCCTAGGATTTGAGGATTATTAGGTGTTTTACCTTGGTCTTATCGTTTTAACTTCACGTCCATTCTTTCAGTAAACAAGTCTCAACTTTGAGATGACGCATAATGGTTGTGTATTTTATCCATTTGCGGGCTCCTCGTTTTATGTTCATGTTACCGTGACGAAATTACGGAGGCGGATTGTTATTTCATGCACAAACTAGTAAATCGTCCAATGCCGAAGGATTTACGATTCGCGTAAATCGTGATCTGTGCAAGGAGGCACAGTATGGGAGAAAATTTATCTCTGTTCAGATTATTTTTACTCAATCGGAGAAGACAAATTTATACGTTGTTCAGTACTCCGCGAAGCACATAAATCTGCAAAATTGCACGAAAGACAGCAGCGTAACGCCAGCGAGCTGTTGAGTCGGGACGATCGCGAACAATAGCCACGGTGCACCGCGAAAGCGTTAAATCGTTGGAAGTAGGAAATGCGTTAGTAACGCGGCAGTTGAGGTTTGCGTCGCAAATACGCAATAGAGGACGAAGCACGGGTTTCCGTGGAATGCCATGGGGTCTTGTTTTGTCCCCCTTCAAACTTTCGAAAGGATCGTCGCGCCTTCTCACGCTCACCAGTTTTAACACCGTACAAGTAGGTGTCTCGCGTGCGCGCGAATCGCCACGTAAAAATAAGCAAACTCTTATTGCGCAACCACGGTCCCGATATCGCGGCCCCCGTGTTGCGTATGTGGCACGCACGTGGGTCGAAAGTACCTTGTCTCTCGTACGCGAGGACCGTACTACTATAGAAGGTAGCGGGGCCTGAGTCGCGATATGTGGGCGACACAATCGAGGAAAAGTCGCGAGCGAGCGACGAATTGATCGACACGAGACAGAATCGTCTTCGGGTCCCAAAACGCTCGGTCTAACGCTTCATCGGAGTAAAAATCCTTGAGTAATAGGCCATCTATACAATGAGAGTAATACACTGAGAGAAAAACGTCGAAGTATTGTGAAGCAAATGTTACTTACGAAATTTGATTGTGATGACGAAATATACATTTTTGTGAAATATATCTCATTAATTGCAAAAAAATAAAATAGATGGCTCATTTGCTAGGAATAAAATTTTATTTCGCCTGTATTTAAATAAATATTTATTTCAGAAATAAATGTATTTCTCACAAATATATTTTTAGATATCTTTTTCTCAGTGTACTAGGACCGCAGTTCGATTCACGCTCCACAACGCTAATGAGCATCATTTGTCTGTGTCATATTGAGGAAATTTAATCAATGAATTGTGTAACTATATATTTATATTGGAAAAATCTGACTGTGTTAATTCTTGAAAATGGACAAATCAGAATTTTTTAGTTTAATCTGTTTCTGTAATCTAATTCTAGTTGAGATAACCAGAATTCTGATTGATACTCTTCTGGTTCATTTTTAACCAATTGACAATATTTCAGCTCAGCTTTATGAATTGTATATAATTATGTATGTACTATTCATAAGATTGAGCTGAATTATTGTCAATAACATTGATTACGTAAGGTTGTAAAAATATTGATGTATATTATCAATATTATTGATTTAATGTCACTGATCATGGAAGACTCGTATTACTTGAGGATTTCTACACTGACGTATTTCATTGTGTCATACGGAAAAAAATTTGACATAAACACGGAATTTGTTTTTCCGCCTCTCACGAAGTAAAAGATACCTCGAGTTACGTCGTTAATTGATAACGATTATCGTTAAGTGGCGAAAGTCAGATACCGGTCGCAGATAGCAAAAATACCGATGAGCTTCGATTCTCGGCATGCTGCCGTGAACGCTGCGTTGTATGTCCGGGATAAGAACGCGGTCAAACGTTTCTCGATAAGGGACCGCCCGCCTGTCCGTCCGTTGCACGTCTTCGCAAGCGTGAGTAACCGCGAGCTATGCCATGTGGCTGGAAATTTTCTGCCATAAGGGAACTGCACACTTACATTTGACAAGCCATTGCAGTCAGGATTTTGCAGTGAATATTTGCATACCGCGAACAATGCTGAGAAACGTTAACCCGTGAACATTTGCGCTTTTGGCGATGAGCCGAGATAGATCATTTTCTCACGTGATGATAAAATATGTATGAAGTATCTTATTATCTCGTAATTTTGTACCGTGTCAGTCGTACTTATGAATCATTGTTAAATGTGAAGTTTTTGCTAAGTGTTTTCTAGATCGATCATGGTAGATAAAATTGATAGAAAAGACACCGTTATATAGACAATCACTTGCCACGTTGCAAGTTTACTGATTAGATTAAATAATAACTTAACAGTAAATACTGTGTCGAGTGAATATTCTTGTGATAATTAATAAATGGGTAGTTACTTTAAATTGCTCGTTTATATAAGCAAGATTATACGATATCAGATTATCCGTAAGAGATGTGTAATTATTGCTGCTTCTTGGTATTTTGTATTACGACTTGTAAAATAAAAGTTGTAATTGAATTCTCAAGTCTCAAAGCCTTCCAAATCTTTAAGTCGTGAGACTTAATGTTAATTAAAATGATCTCGCTTAATTCTACATTATTCACATGGTTTCTTTAACGTGATTGATTCGCATGGGATGTTTCTGACACCCCAACATTACAGCCTAGGCCAAAAATATTAAGCACTTTATTAATCATTATTTTCAAAGTTTTAACTAAAAATTGATTTATAGCTTTTGCTGTAAATTATCTTTTGTTTAAAAAATCTTTTAAACTTATGTATAATGCAGGTAAAAGAATTCTAGATAAATGAAAAAATATAGATGCTTAATACCAAGGCTGTATTATCTTAATTTTTATTGTTTTCTTTGATGATTTACAATTAAATAAAGATTGATAATACTCTAATAATATTGATAATATTTTATATATTCTTTAGATAAAAATAAATGCAAAAAATTTTTTTAATTATGAAGTAATTTACACTAAATATAATGTACATAAATAGTATTCACATATTTAGAGCAAATTTATAAAGCTAGAGGTATCCTGAACACCCAACGCGAGTAATGAAGAGTTAATCGTATGAAGGAGACCTTCGCACACGTATTTTCGTCAGTAAATCTGGGTGAAGCTGTTTGTGCCATGCATCTATGTCCAGGCATAAATTTTCAATTAACTCATCAATTATACTTAAGTGAGAGAAAATCATGACACGGAGAGACCGTGCCTGCTTTCGTTCGGTGGTATGCACCGCGCGTATGTCAATCAGAACTTAATACAGACAATGATTCATCCGTCACGGTGGAGCCGCACCAAGTCGACTCGAGTTGAGTCGAGTTGAGCCGCGAGGCAGACCGGGTTGGCGGCTCCGGGAATGGTTCGAATCACGGCCGTATACGGCTGGAGTTGTCCCGTCGACGTATAATTATCGTAAGCTGGCATCGTTCTGTCGTGCTGTTTCCTGCCCACCGTTTCTCATTCCTCGTCTTACTCTCGCTGCGCTTCTTTCGTCGGTTGCGGATAAAATTGGATGATCTCTGTACGAAGTTGGCAGTCCACTTTCGATACTTAGACAGCCCTAACATTTGCCCAAAAGGTTTTAGAGTATCCGATAAATTTGAAAAATAAAAACCTAAACAACACAGTCCAAAATTAGGACATAAGACGTTTAAGATTTTTGGACATAAAATATTTAAGATTTTTGCACATGTGTGTTGTCTGGAAAGTTTTGGCAATTAGATTTTAGAAATGGAGGCTAATGGACTATCTGCTTTAGATCTTTTGTTACAATTTTTAGTTATAATT